TAGAGACACTTGACGCATATATTTTATATTTTCCAATCTCAGTACCAGTGCTACTATTCTTATGTCCTCGTTGTCAATCAACCTCATTTTTTCTATTCAGCTATTGGAGAAGCAGGGAAAGACGTCTGCTTAATATTGGATCTGCCTGCACTCCTCCATTTTCTCGTCCCTGGACTTGGAGATCTAGACGTGAGTTAATAAATGGGAGTGGTATCTTTTACTCTTACTTATTTTCACATTTACTCAATGTTATTTAGTGCAATGATATGCCCGCAGTCATTTTACTTGCATTCCAATATGTCATTGCACCGTTCTTTGGCGAAAAGGCAAAAGAAACGTGTACGGTAAGCTGATTATTATAATATAATCTTTGTCATCACTTATTTATCTAATGTTATGCATTTAGCATTTCCTTCCATACTGCAGCGACGTCTTCTAGTGTAACTTCATAGCACATGTTCCTCAATAAACTATTTGACGTAGCAAACTTCAACCTCACAGTGACTCGTTTATAATAAAAGGCCTTATATTGACTGTTTACAGCTTTGTTTTGTCTGAATGGAAACCATAAAGACCTCGATTTTATTCTCATTCCATCCCACACATGAAAAAAGTGCGACAAGATATTCAAGAACATAAGTATTCTGAAGCACCTTAAAGGTAGATCATTTAAAAAAATCTATTAGTGTCAATTCGTGTTATCACCAAATGCTAATTGCAGCAGGACGGCCGTCAAGGGAAGTCGCAATTGCTTATCATTTTATGATTGACATATATGGTCTGATGCCAAATTATATTTGACACTAAATACGCTGTAATCTTTGAATTAAACAGAGACTTGCGATTACCTTACTGTTTACGCTCAGTAAACTGAGCACGAGTAGGATAGAAGAATTCTAGTAGAAGGCTGCGCCTCCTTGAGTTTTTTCATCATAAAGTAACTTCAGGAGATTCAGTTCACATGCTTGGAGGGAACAAGTTTGAGAAATTTGGGTCATCAAAGCGTTACACTGTCACTGTTCCCAGAGCTCGAGGCAGGTCTCCGGAGGGCAAGCTGGAATTCGTTCTGAAAAAAGCAAAGGGGAAATTGTATGGGGTCCGAAGAAGAGCTTGGAGTTTAACCTCAATGACAGCGTTTTTCACAACAAGGATGTTGAAGCTAACTTTTTCCCACCTCCCTCCCCCCTCCTCTCCTTCCTGGCGCGGATGTTCATTCATACGGCCTGAGTAATTCCGTCTTATTCAATAATCAATTCAGAGTTATTCCATACAAACTTAAAGAGTGATTAAATCCCTGCTATGGCAAAGGTTCAATGTTCGTTTCAATGCGGGCGTTTGCGCGGGAAATTCAAAAGAGTATTTTAAAATTTAGTTAAACCCGTTTTACCAAGCGAATAGGCAATGAACAGCTACCGAAGCATGAAGATGCGCAACGGAGAGTAGAAGAAGTGTGTGAAAAATTTCTGAAGAATTATGAGAATAAAGAATTCGCCGTACCTTTTCGTGAGGTCTCCGGCGGAGACTTACGGGAGCCTCAGGTCTCCGATTAGCAAACACTTTTTTGTTTCTCATAATTCTGCGTTCCTAATAGCAAACACTTTTTGTACATTCGTTGACCCAACTTACAGCGCAATAACCAGCTTAAAGCACCTCCTCTCTTCCTTGAAAGGGCCCTAAATCGTTTTACCTTGATGAAGAAAGCGCGCTCCAAGTATACAGCACTGCAGTGCTTGTCCTGATTGCACCTGTTTGTACAGGTTGTAAAGGGAACTTTGTAAATTCCTGGATTTTCAAGCGGTTTCGTTCTCGTAAGGGGCAATCGGAGGCGTCGTGCCGAGTCCTAGCTGTTTTCTTGATATAACTATGGAAGAAGCGAATAGACGGCCCTTCTGAACCCAGGCACGGCCTAGATAAGTGGCGCCTCTGATTGGCTAAGCACTCCTATGATGGCCATCGCACTAATAGCGTTTAGGAGAAAGTTAAGGTGCGGAGAAGCGAGTGCAGCGATAGCGATCTCTATGGGTCCTCGCCCATATCGAGTTCAAATCTCACCTCTCATTTTAGTGAGCCAGAAGGTGCATGACTGCGTGCTCGCATTAATTAAAATAATTTTCCGAAGAATCCAGAAACGT